GACTTTTACCAGAGCCTCGATCGAGATGATCCTAGAAGCCAATACTATTACACCCAAGGAGATGGACGTGGAACTCTAGTAGAATGCAAATTGTGTAAGACTAGTGAACCCAGAAATAGAATGTATAACCTAGAGAGTATATCAGAAGAATTGTGGTTTTGTGACCTAGAGCATCTATATGCTTACAAAGCTAGTATTGATGTTCTCTATAACCCTAACTACAACTTGTGGACCAGAATTAGACATTACACTGAGTCCAACCAGAGTGCTGGTTCCCAGTATAACATGAATCAGACCCGTATCTTCCGTTTAGCTAAAATTTACCTCCAAGAAACCGATATGTCTATTAGTGAAGCCCTGGAACCCCAAGCAAATGATAGAATTAATCAACCTTGGTCATATGACGAAATGGATCTTATTCTTAGAGCAGAGCGAACCACCCTCACTGATGAAGAGGAACAGCTATTACAACGAACATTAGCTGAGTCCTTTGATATCAGTCATCCAGAATTTGACCATCGAATTGCTCTTGCTAATCTCCATCGACAGTTTAGCACCCCTGTTGATCTTTGCAAAGAGTGTTTACATGCTAAGCACCGAGAAGAATTAGACCAGTATAATGGATGTTGCCAAGACTGTGCCTCCCCATCTACTCCCATCCATGAGCCCGTTGATACTTCTAGTAGTACTTCAGAGCCAGAATCGGAAACGCTACCAACACTAGAACCAGACTCTACCTTATTGGTAGTAGAGCAATTGAGACAACAAATAGAAACCCAGAATCAATTTATTCTGCAGCTTCAGCAAAGAGTAGATAAGTTAGAAAAGATTAATCAGACCTTCCTCCACATGTTTGAGCAGGATGCACAAGCAGCTCAACAACGTTATACCTTCCTTACTCAAGAAGTGGGAAGCCTAAATTTTTAGACAATCCCAGGCATGATGAAAAACTACCTGTTGAACCAGACATCCAGTATCAACAAGTATTTACAATTGACACTATAATTCCTTATGAGGAATATAATGTCGACGCTAGCCCTCAGAATTTAAATATCGGACCTTTAACAACAGAGCAAGGAAAGAGATTTGGAAAATTACTTGCAGAGTTCACTAATCTGTTTGCACAAGATATTGCTGACTTAGGTCGAACTGACTTAGTCACTCATAGAATTTATACAGAAGAAGGACCACCTATTCGATCTAGACCTTATTCTTCTTCCCCTACGGAACAGACATTTATTAAAGAAGAAATTCAGCGAATGCTAGATACTAAACTAATACGACCCTCTTCTAGCCCTTGGACTTCTCCAGTTGTATTAGTTCGCAAGAAAAATGGAAAGCTTCGATTTTGTGTAGACTATTGGAAACTTAATGGCATTACTAAAAAGGATGCTTACCCATTACCACGAATTGATGATATGCTTAATAC